TGCTGAGGCACGGCTCTCCGCGGGCCGGGCCCCCAGCCGGGGGGGTTTGTTCGCCCGGGCCTGGCACGGAGGGCCTTTCGGCTGCGAACGGGCACGGGCTCGGGCTCTTCTTTAAGGGCTGTTAGCCCTTAGGGAACGTAACGTGTATCCGCGTCCGTGGTGCTTGAAGTGCAAACTGAAGGCCAGAAAAAAAAGCCCTCCCTTTTTCTTAAAGGTTTGCACAGTATTGCTGGGTTTTAATAATTATGGCGAAATAGAGGTGCTGGTCTCATGGGAAGAATGCTGACAAACCGAATTATTTTACTTTGGAACCTAGAAAATCACAGCAGAGATGGCCGCGTTTCTGCAGAGGTTGCGTCAGAAGGTGAAAGTTGGAGTCGTGGGCGGTTCAGATTTTGCAAAGATCAAGGAGCAGCTTGGCGATGACGGTAAGGGTCGCGGCTGATGCAATCCCTTGCACCGAATTGCTTACAAGGAAGTTGGGAAGGTTAGATGTAGGCTAAGCCCTATGCATTCTCCTCCTTTCTTGCTTTCAGCTTTCTTCCTGGTTTTGTTTGGTGCCCTCAATCTGTGGAGAGCTATTTACAGGCATTTAGAAACGGCAGCCTTCGTTTGCATTTTACAGATAGCTCGGTATCTTATTAAGGGATTGTTACTAATGGTGAAATCCAGACTTTGTGCCAGTACCTTAGGAGGGCATTTTAACATTGCCGTTTTACAGTAGAATTACGTACGTAACATACACACGTGCAGGCTGCTGAGCTGTCGAGCGCATCGCTGAGGGATCCGATTTGGTTAACTGCAGGGTTACGATGCGGAGATGGACTCTTGCTTTAGTCCTTTGAGAGGCATTTCCTTTTCTGTATAGAAGACTATCTTTATTGGTCTTTACTTAATTGCTGCCACTGATAACCTGCTGTAATGCCCAAATAACTCGGAATCTGGCTTACAAGTGATCTCCAGTAAGCCATATCCTCTTGCGTTGTAATAAGATTCTCACAACTCTCAGATCTACTGTAGATTAGTAACGCTGAGAAAACAAACCTAAAATGGTGGTATTGGATTTGCTCTCTAGCCAGGCTGCCCGCCGGGTTTTTGTAATATTAGGTGTTCAGTCACTTCCTTACATTTAATGTAAGAGAGACGTGTTTGCAGGAGAGGAAGAGCCTTTAAGCAAAAACAGAGGTAACTTAACTGAAAGACTTCATGTGATTTGAGGTGTGTGCTAATCTTGGAGAGAAAAGAAAGTGGCTTTGATCTTGTGCTCAATGTTATGCTGCTGAATCTTTCATGCTTTGTGATCTAATGTTTGCTGTATTTTAACCTATTTACTGTGTAAGACAGTTCTGCGTCAGACATACAGGGGAAATTATAAGTTCCTGTCTCTTTGTTTGGTTGTAGTGGTTGAAAAATTTGACTACGTTTTTCCAGAAAATGGTCTTGTAGCATACAAAGATGGGAAATTCTTGAGCAAGCAGGTAATTGTGAAACTTCCAGTAATGAGAAATTTTCTAAACAAGATTTTGCTTTCTTGCTACAGTGCAGTCCTCTGTAATCTCCCTTCTAACTGAGACCGAAATTGCTGCTGTTGTCCCGTGTTATTTCTGTAACAGAGCATTCGTTTGGCGCTCTGATTCATGTAATGACAATCTGCACCTTAAGCTTTATTCTTTGGGGTATTCTCCAAACCAAAAGCTATTGGAGCCTGGAGCGTCTGATCGAATAAGGACAGTGAAAATCCTGGAAAAGCCTTCCCGTCAGTTTATCCATAGGAAATGCGGCCAAGCCCTCTGCTCCTGCAGGTCCTATGGAATACGGCATTTCATAGCTGATGTCTGTTTGGCCTTAGGATTCAGAACATTTCTTGTAGATCTCTTGTAGTTGCTTTTTAGTATTAATTCAGAGTGCACATTCTGATATGTTGCATAAGCTAGAAGGTAAATACTCTAAATTAATATAAATGTACATCTGATTCCAGATACTGTCATCACTTTCATCGGTTCAACATAAGTAATGGAGATTAAAAATTTAAAAGAGATCCTGGCTGAAACTGCTGACTTGAGCAGTGTTTTCCAATTACTGCAGTAACGATCTACTACTGTAGCTTGGCAGTAGTAGATTAACAGTAGATAAATTAACAGTAGACATTAACTGCAACTTTTTATTTAGGTCTGCTGTCTTTGGCCCACAATTCTAAAGCAGGTACTAGTAGGGAGCATATTAAATGAGAGTTTGGTGTTATGGTTTAAAAAAACCCAAAGTAAACAAAAAGAAATGCGAGAGCCTTTAGTTAGGACCGTGTATGCATCAACTGAGAGTTACTTACTGAAGGCATGTTTCTTTGTGGTATTAACCATGCCTGATCATCCACTGTCTGGGGTGTCCGTGTGACTTTTTTTTAGAATCTCAAATTCTGGACCCTTGGTTGAATGGTATTTATTTTGTTAGAACATTCAGGGTCACCTCGGTGAGGACATACTTCAGGATCTAATCAACTACTGCCTGAGTTATATTGCGAAGATTAAACTGCCAAAGAAAAGGTACGTGCATACATGCATCTCAGTGTCACCGTATTTGCCATGTTACAGTGTTGAGCATCAATACGTAAAGCAGGCTGCTCAGCAAAAAATGAATAATTTGTGGTTTAGGCACACTGTATATGTGAAACAGAGCTCAATCCATGCATACAAAGACAAGTTCCCAGCTGAAGCACAGGATTTGAAATACTGATTCAGCATTTTTATGTAAGAGGGAAGGAAGTTCAGTTTTGAAGTAGGAGTTATTTCCTTGACGTGTTTGGAATTCAGCAGCATAATGTTTTCCAGAGATCAGGAGCATTCAGTAAGATCAGTTCTATGTGACACGCGAGGGCGCAGCTGCTCAAGACATTACTATGTACCACATGCGAGGCTAGCTAGAAACACTGCCAAGATTGCTCTAAACTTTGCCGCTTCACTCCAACGCTGACAGACTGGCCTGTCAGAGTCTGCGAATCGAGTTGACAGGATGCTCCACTCATACTTTTAAAAGTCAGTAAGGATGATGTTGAGGTTGCCAGATTCAAATAAAACTCCAAGACTCCTTGATACCAGAGGTATTGGTTCCTACATGTTTGGTTTCTCAGGCATACAATGAGAGGCTGAAGAAGACATCTGATTCCCATTCTCTTCAGAATTAAATGAAAGTTCATCGTGGTAGTCAGTATTTTGAGTAATTTTTCATCTACTTTCTGTCTTGTTAATTCTTTCTCAGGGGCACTTTTATTGAGTTCCGAAACGGGATGTTAAATGTGTCCCCCATTGGAAGAAGCTGCAGCCAGGAAGAACGAGTTGAGTTCTATGAACTTGATAAAGTGAGTTACAACTCTTGAAAAATATCCAGCTCTTTTGGAAGAGGCAGTTATGGCCAGGTTATGATTTTTAAAAAGCTTTTATACTTTGTGCAATTTTTTTCATTTTAATCCCTTCCATGTGGTTTAACTAACTTCTTCATTCAGACTTCAGGAAATATACAATAGCTGTTTTGTTGGAATAGTTAACAATGATTACTTGCAGAAGGGGTGGGTTTGGCTCATGTTTCTTTTAACCCTATATCCAGAGTACCGAACATCCTACCTCAACACACAGGATTCCTGAAAAACCCTGTCATAGATAAAACCATACTTATTTGGAGTGCTCTTTAGTATGTATCGGGATATAGCCAGCCTATATCCATTCAAATCAATAAAACTCTCCCTTTTCTTGTCAACTCTTTAAAGCCTTTTAAAGCAGAATTTAAAAGCTGAGGTCAAACTATTCACCGTTTATTTTCCTTTGTACAGCGCTAACTGTGCGATGCTGAAATTAATCTAAGCCATGATATCAGAGTTCTGCTCCCTGCTACACCGTAACAACTGATTCTGACCCGATACAAAAAGTGAAATCTTAATTCCTCAAAAGCAGTCTTTGCTTGTGACTCATGAATACTGAAAGATACCTAAACCCAAGGCATTCTGAAAATACCCTTTTTGGAGTATATGGCATCAGAAGATTAGTAGTAGTTTTGAGACACTTCCTGTGCCTCAGTTTCCCCATTTTTAAAATTTAATTTGTCTGGGAATTGAAGCATACTTCCTTAGTATTGTAAGATTTTCAGATAGAAAAGCCAAGTGTCACAGCATGTATGTGAAGTTTTGCTCTCATTTTTTACAAGTTGGTAACAGATTAAAGTGGAAATATTCTCAGCATGTTTTCAGTAATAATAAAATGTGGCTATATCACGCTAGTCCTGGTACTCAGACCTTTGGATATGTTTGGGGTGGGGTTTTGGGTTATCTTTTTATTGATGAATTAGCACAGCATGTAACTGATGTTTGGTTTTGCTTTTTGTTTTTTTTAACAGAAGGAACACATAAGAGAGAAATTTGTAGCTGATTTACGAAGAGAATTTGCAGGAAAAGGCCTCACATTTTCCATAGGTATCACATTGAAAGAATTTCATTTAAAACAACATTTAATTTAAATTTCACTTAAGTCATATCCTCTTATGGCTATGACATACCCTATCTCATTTGTGTGACAGTTATCTCTCTGGGGGTGGTTGCAGGCATTGCGTGCAAGACTAAGCCTCTTTTTCCTCTTAGGCTTTCATTTGGTACATTTTAATTGAAATCCATCAACAAAGAGAACTTCATTGTTTATCATCAGTTCATTGTCTTTTAATGTCAGTTGTGTGACTGGTTCTGCTCATTTTGAAACATATTACATGCTTCTGATTAGTCAGAGTTGTTTCTGCGAATCAGTTTTGATCAGAAATACTACATTAGTACTGTTCCAGTAGCCTTTGGTTCTTCAGCTCTGTAGCTGCATTGTGTGGGAGGAAGGAAAGAAAATCCAAAAGCAAGTGCAAGCTTAAAGAGAAAAGCGATAATAAAGGGGAATTGATTTTCCATTCATTTTTTCTTTTTTCCCTTCTCCCTCAATATATTACCACATTCTTGCCTTTATGTTACTTTTCCGAGTGATGAAAAAGTATGGTTGCCATTAGTGCTGTGGTATTGAAACACTTAAGGCAGGAATGAACTGTAATATAGCTCTCCTAAAGCATGTTGTAAATACCTTTTTGACATGCGCTTCAACTGGGAATCGCATGTTTATGTATTGGTCAAGTCCAAGGACTTGGAGCTGGAACAGTTGTTGTCCCGTTAGGCTGTGTTAAAAAGGCCGATTTCCTCCTTTTTCTATTCTGAAAGCTTAGTCTTTATAAGACTAAGTTAAGACTAGTTTTATAAGAACTTACAGTTTCATAACTAAGTTACAAGGAACTTTATAGCTTTACTTTACTTTACTAAGTTAAGACTTTCTGTTAAAACGAAGTCTTTTGCCTAAGACTTTATGGCTGTACGTAGACCAATGGCTGTATTCATTCATGTAGTTTCTTTCTAAAACTGAAAAATTACATGTAATTTTTAAAGAAAAGGTTCCATTTGAGAGCAGTGAGTGTTTAGGAACATGCTAAGACTTTCATATTTGTTTAATGGGTAAATAGTAATAATCTGTAAATCACAACTGTAATAACTGATACCCTATAAAACACTTTCTGTACTTGTAAGACTTAACTCCAGGGTTTCATAACATTTCTGTGACTTCTGCAAAGCTCCCTCTACCAAAAATCTTATCCAGTTTATGTTTTCTTACTTACTCTCCTCTCAGAAATGTGTTCTTATAATAAAAGTTTGCTTGGTTTGTGTCTGTCCTAGGAGGCCAAATAAGCTTCGATGTGTTCCCAGATGGCTGGGATAAGAGGTACTGCTTAGGAATCATTGCTGATGACGGATACAAGACTATTTATTTCTTTGGAGATAAGACTATGCCAGTGAGTATATTGTTTTGAATATACATTTCAGAGCTGCTATTAGAAACCACAAGCACTGTAGGTTCTAACCAGCTGCTGTATGCCTGACAAGAACTGAAGTCAGAATATAAATACGTGTCTGTGTTTAACTGGCTGTGCATTACTGGTCAGCATCATGCTGGGAGATAGCCGTGAGCATAGATTTTTCTTCTGTTCCCTGAAGTGAACACAGTGTTCTTGACAGAAACGGAGTATGTTTTTAAATTGAACTTCTGTAATGATGTTAAAAACCTACATGACATGACTGTGTAAAACTGATTATCCTGTTTGGTTATTGTAGATTGATGCTTCTTGTTGGCTGGTGTTTATTAAATATATTTATTTTCCATTGATCTTAATACTCTTCCTTTGCTAACCACCCTGTCTCCACCCTGAGGAACTGAAATTATACATAATCCTTGTCCCTAGTCATTGGGCAAAGCTAAACAACTCTGCAGGGTGATTCAGAGGCTTTTGAAAACACTGAGCAGAGACCTGAGTAGAGCTAGCGAGGGCAACGGTAAGCACAAGGACTTGGATAAAATTAAAGCTGTCTGAACATGGCCAAGGGACAGCGTCAGGCTAAGTTTTATAAGAAAAGGCTTAGTTTTACAAGAACTTACAGTTTCATAACTAAGGAACTTTATAGCTTTATAAACTTAAAAAGGCCAAGTTTTATCAGAAAAAGACGAGCTCAAAATTAAAGTTGGTTCCCCGCCCCGCCCCAGCCCTTGACACCAGCTGCAAAAGTAATCACCTGTCCCTCTGGCATAGTTTATGGACAGTTGATTTTAGACCCTGTAATTGGCAGTGCAGCATTTTCAGAGTTTTGAAGTAGCAAGAGTTGCTGCTGACTTGCTCGAAACCAGCATGGCAAACACCCTGCAAAAATTAGGTAACTGTTTCCTGTAGTGCATGAATCTGCGGCTTTCAGGGATCTCTGCTTATGCAGGTGGCAGTGCCTTTGTTCCCTGAGCCAGCTGTGAAAGGATCTTTCATTGCTCTCCTGGGATTGGAAACCAGTTACAAATGTCACATCGAACCAGTAGCTAGCAAGGCCAAAACACTACTGCAATAGCAAAGGATCAGCAGTCTTAACAATGATTTAACTAAAAGGAAAGAAAACCAAGCTGGAAGGAAGAGGATAATGCAAATAAGTTACAAATACCACATGCTGGTACAGTGTTCTGTAACCCTAATATTAACAAATGAACAGTTTTAAAAAGTCAATACTGAGTTGCTATACAAAACTAAAAACATGGCTAAACTTACTGAGAGTTCTGCTCTTTCATTACCAATGCTAACGTTGCAGGTCAGGAAGTTCTCGTGCAAGTGTTTGTGGTGGTCAGCAGAAGTTTCAGCACAGATGTGCTATAAACACATTATGCAAAATCTCAAAATGGTGGTTTGCAGTTTTTTAGCTTTCTGGAAGACATCTCAGACATGACTATGTTATCAGAGAATGGTTTGGGTTGGAAGGGACCTTAAAGACCATCCAGTCCCAACCCCCCTGCCCTGGGCAGGGACACCTTCCGCCAGACCAGGTTGCTCAAAGCCCCATCCGACCTGGCCTTGAACACTTCCAGGGATGGGGCAGCCACAGCTTCTCTGGGCAACCTGTGCCACTGCCTCACCACCCTCACCGTGAAGAATTTCTTCCTAATATCTCATCTAGATCTTCCCTTTTCCAGTTTAAAGCCATTGCCCCTTGTCCTATCACTATATGCCCTTGTAAAAAGTCCCTTCTTTCCATAATTTCCTTTGTATGTCCCTTTTTCACCTCAAGACCGTGACTATACATTAAGTTAAATAAAATTAAATCCTCTTCTGCTTTTTTCCTCTTCTGTTTTCAGGGAGGGAATGACTATGAAATTTTCACAGACTCCAGAACAGAAGGCCACAGCGTCACATCCCCACAGGACACGAGAAGAATCTGTGAAGAGCTATTTTTTAAATAAAGGACTTCTAGAATTCACATTTACAAAACAGTTAAGACAGCTTAATAACTCAAAACATCTTCTTTCATTCCGTATTGTTTTTTGTAATTGGTCATAAATAGCAAGTGCTTTGCATGTCAGTTGTTACTGCAGGGAAATGTTTTAATTCAAGAGAACCCTGCTGACTGGTGGAATACAGCAGAGCTCATTTAGCACCATTCTTTCACTATTTGCACAAGTACTTTTCTTTTTGATTGGTTGTGGTTTTTTGTTTGTTAAGTCATTAGTACACTTCCTCAGCTAATTATTTACATCTTAGGGAGGAGGGGAGGGGGAAGATAATCTGCCTACAGTTGATTTATGGTCTCAAAATTGGCCTGCAAGGCTTTATCCCTAGTTTTTATTTTGAAGCTGCTATTTAAAAGATGAACATTTTAGAGCTGTTTTTTTAAAATACTACTTTGTGCTATAAAGACATGAATTATAACAAGCTGGGATTTTCTTGTTTAAAACTGGAAGATGAGTAAAAGAGACAGGTTTTCTTTCTTTCTGGGGGTGGGAAGAAATAACTGATCCCGAAGTCCCTGACCTCACACATGTTCCAGTGCCTGGTCAGAAGGTGGAGCGAGACTACCACCACCACCACCGGAAAGGCTGAGTGCTAAAAGTTACCTCCTCAGTACAGTTGTGGTGCCAACGTACAGTACAGTTCACGGTACCTATGCTTTCTGCAGACCGTTTTTAAATCTTAAAAAATTAAAAATTTACAAAAATTAATTAAAACAACTTGGGGCACAGTAATGTATTTCTGTCACTAATGACATTTCTGATTTTCCTGGTAAGACATTAAGGGTAGATGAGATTTTAGTACTAAGAATGACCTAAACTATGTTTCTATTAAAATTCAAGTTGAAGCATGACAATCACTGTAACTGTTAATACTACTTTTCTCATCTGGCATTAGGAAAGTAATCTTGTGTATGAACAGTTTAATTTAGTAAAGGAGAATAAAAATCTCATTTTATCATGAAAAATTACTATTATTTCAATTTGTCATTCTGGCAAATAAAATATGTAAAGCAGACCTGTTGTATGCTGCCTGTCTGTACGAAGAAATGAGTGACCTGAATCTTTCCAATTCCAAGTTTATGTGATACTTACCCAGTAAAAAAAAGGGGAGACTACAATATTTGTGTACAAACCAAAATCCCCCAGAGGGCTTATAAAAAAGGAGGGGAAGCTGCAGTGCCCTCAAGCATCAGAACTATTGTTTTCTAACACCCTTCTTATTTGCCTGCTTCCATAGGGTAAGTAAGTCAGCCTCAACCATTTTAATGGGAGCAGACTTTTGGACCAGAACCATTGGTAGCACAGGAAGACTCTTTAAAGATGGCCAGATAAAGATGGCCAGATTCTAATGGCTGCTGCTTTGTGTGTACACGCAGGTGATACATCTGATTATTTGGTTACTTTACTGCACCATTGTTTCCTGTATTTGCAGAAAGTTACCAATGCAAAACATCCTGGGCAGGACCAAACCCAGATTCGTTTTCAGCCTCAAGTACAATCATCTGTGTGCACATACCTGCATATGTTCACATCTTAAAAGCTTGTGAGTCAGTCTTGCACAGCCATTGCCAATAGCTATGGTTTATCTTCTGCCTCTTGTGCCAGCAGATGAGAAGCAAACATTCTGTCTCTCTGAGGGGAGAAAAAACAGAAAACAAAGCAAAGCAACCCACGATGCCTCGTTCCTTGCTTCCATCTTACTTTATCTAGTGTGAATTTAAATAAACAGGGTGGGCACAATGGTTCCTGCCTTTGGCAGCCCCTGCTTGGGTCCCATCCCCTGAAGCTCTGCTAAAGCTTTGCTGCAGCATTTTTGAATACTGGCTGCCCTGTCTTGGGAGCGCCTTCTGAAATGTTCTGGCCTTCCTCCCCCAAGTTTCAGCTGAAATGACCAGGCTATGCTATACCTCCCTGTCCCCCCCTACATGTTAACATAAATAATAGCTAATGTTACATTTACATATATTTACAAATTTTTACATAATTACATAAATATTTACATATCTTCAATATTATACAATGAAAATAAATATGTTTACAGAAGTAGTAGTATATATTATACAGTAACCTATTACACAGCTAGAAAACTTGCTAAATTACTCCCTAATTGATATGGTAATGCCAGTCAGTTGCTATTACAACACTTTTTAAAAAACTTTTAAATATCCCCATACAGGTGTACATATGCAGGCACTTGCACTCTCTTCTGTCTTTAATGCTAATCATCTTCAATGCCAACTATGCAGACAGCAGACTGAGGACATAAGTTAAAGCATTATAATGGTCACATTTATTGTAAAGGAAGCAGTCTGATATTCCAACAAGCTGGATAGTGTTAAATCCACCACTACTAAGTCTTACAGTTAATAAGAAACAAACAAAACCCCACTACAGGCTGGTCATGATCATACACGATAGTGTAATACAGGCAGAGCTAAGGTAAAACAATCCATCACAGCAGTTACTAACCTCCATACATCTGTGCTCTCCCCAGGTCAGACCTCAGAACACATCATCTGCTGTGAAAGAGTCTTAAGACATTTCACGACGGCGAGCACCTACTGTTAAAACTGCAAATAGGCAACTGCAGTTATACTGTTTCACACAACTAACAGAAGAATATCATGCCATCTTTTTTATTGTTTTTATTTGCAAAGTCAATAAAAATCCACTGTTAGGAACATAATAGAGAAAAATGCTTCATTTAAAAAAAAGATGTGGAAGGAAAATAGGAACAGACCCAATTTAGTTGCACTACAACTACAAGAAATCTTGCAGGCAGAGAAGAGTCAGGGCAAGGGTGACCATATCACATCCTACCAAGCAAGTTTTCCAGGGAAACAGCTGCAGATTCTACTTTGCTGAGTCAGCTGAGCCTGTTAAGTAACTTGCACAGTATTTTATACATGGTCATCTGATGAACAGCATATAACTTGCTTTTCAGAAGTACAGTTATTCTGCCTGCCCAGTGGAATACCATGGCGGACATTCAACTGTATGCAATCAAGAAGGTAATCTTCAGATTGTCTAAATTCAGACACAGAGGCTATGAAGTATCCACTACTCTATAGCTTTCTACCACTTACCTTGAAGGAAATTTTTTTTAATTTTGGTTTTTGTTTGGTTTTTTATTTATTTATTTATTTGTAAATACTGGCCTATAAAATCTGTTGCTAATCAACCATCAAGGCACCTAAGTAAATTCACAAACAATCCAGGCTTTAAAACCACAATATTGAACACATACGCAGACGTGCCATTTGCAAACAGCACACCTGAAGGGCACCCAGTCGTGGCCATCAGAGCGTAACCACCAGATGGAGATTTTCCACCCTGTGGCAGCTGCTCTGTTTGTGAACTTATTTCCACAAGGAAAGAAAAAAAAAAATAATCGCAGCAACGAACACCTCTCTCTCTCTCAAGCCAAGGCATTCAGGCACTGTTACCGGCATTAAGTGTACTCCAACCCTTACAGCAGAGCAGCTCAAGGGAACACAGCGCTCACACACCTCCAGGGCCTCGGAGTCGTGCCTCTGCTACAGCCGTCTGCGCTAGAAGAGCCCTCTTTCAAACCTCTCCCCAATTCCCCTGGGCATTTCCTGGAATCAGTTCACAAGATAAAAGAAAAACCAAACCTCGCCTCCTCCACCAAGCACACAAGCTAGGTCTCTTTAAAATATGGGTTTTATAAACACATTATGCTAGATTTTTGTCATTAGCATTTGAATTGCCTTTTTTTTTTTTTCAGGCCAGCTGTAAAAATGGTAATTTTGGCCTGCTTCTGCTTTATTGACAATGCAGTATTTCCTCTCGCACAATACGTAGAATATTCTTAGCACAGGTCCCCGCAGTCAGTCGTTGAGCAGTGACCATGCAGGCAGCAGCCGCGCTCCCTCTGGGACGCCTCAGGAGCTGACGACGTGCCCTGACCAGGTCTCGTGCTTGGTTCCCGGAGCTAGATGGGTAATCACCACCTCCACCGCCTGAAGCTTCTCGTTCTTTGGAGGGATGGTGCACATCTTGTAGGTGACCTCGTCGCCTGCCACAGGAACATACTCGCCTTCGATACTGTGGAGGGGAAGCTTCAGTTAGTCATAAATCACACAAACGCTCTTACTCTTTCGCAGCTTATTTGAATTTTTATCATAATCATTATCTCAGGTGCTCAAGATACTTCAGGTTTTTTTATAGAGTCCATGATCCACCAAAGACAGAGGTTGATTTTGGTTGTCTTGCAGCAAAATCCTATGAAAACACTATAAACACCACCACCACCACCCTAAAACCAACCAACCAACAAATAAACCCACACAAAAACCCCCACACTCTAATATGCCTTAAAAAATAATCAGGTGAGCCCGTCCTTGGACAACGTTGCCGTGAACCAAGCAACCACCTCTTACTCGCTGGCAGCACTAGAGGGCAGGGCTGACACCGTTTGGCACTTCCTTTGGGGGTTTGGTTTTTTAAACTATAGGAAGTTGACAATTTTTTTCCTCCTCTCACTTAACCTTTGGAAGTTTGGGGGCGGGGGGTTGCCTCTTTTTTTAAAGAAGGACTGTACCATGCCAGTCATTGATTTTACCTTTAGATTACTCCACCATAACACAGTTTGTCTGTGACATGAAAAAAAACCAAACGCACCCAAGTAAGACACGGTGTCAAATATTTCAAAATTACTTGCTGTGAAAAAAGAGAGTTCTGTGAACCTGACACGTTACACGGCAGAAACTCTCCTCCAGCATCCAGCACTTAGGAATATTTCCAAGAGTCACTCACTCCTACCTAGCCTCTGCCAGCACAGTGATGTGGGATGCTGGAGGACTCACACAGTGCATTTGTTACTGCATGCAAGTCCTTATCTGGAAACAGTGGGAAATGGCAAAAGGGCTGTCACCTTCTCTTCAAAATGATATACCGATGAAAGACAGAACTGCAAAGGGTAACAGCCTTTCTTGCCTTTACCACTGCGCTCAAGATCAGAGCTTTT